AAATTGATTTGCATTTTAATGAGGGAAATAAGCATTTGACCCCTCTCAATCAGAAAGATTTCTGGCTCCCAGGTGTCTTTTATACAGGTAACGAGCTGAGATTAGGAGCACACTCTTAAAGGGAGTGCTCCTAATTTCAGCTTGTTACCTGTATAAAAGACACCTGTTCACAGAAGCAATCAATCAATCAGATTCCAAACTCTCCACCATGGTCAAGACCAAAGAGCTTTCCAAGGATGTCAGGGACAAGATTGTAGACCTACACAAGGCTGGAATGGGCTACAAGACCATTGCCAAGGAGCTTGGTGAGAAGGTGACAACAGTTGGTGCGATTATTCGCAAATGGAAGAAACACAAAAGAACTGTCAATCTCCCTCGGCCTGGGGCTCCATGCAAGATCTCACCTCGTGGAGTTGCAATGATCATGAGAACGGTGAGGAATCAGCCCAGAACTACACGGGAGGATCTTGTCAATGATCTCAAGGCAGCTGGGATCATAGTCACCAAGAAAACAATTGGTAACACACTACGCTGTGAAGGACTGAAATCCTGCAGCGCCCGCAAGGTCCCCCTGCTCAAGAAAGCACATATACATGCCCGTCTGAAGTTTGCCAATGAACATCTGAATGATTCAGAGGACAACTGGGTGAAAGTGTTGTGGTCAGATGAGACCAAAATGGAGCTCTTTGGCATCAACTAAACTCGCCGTGTTTGGAGGAGGAGGAATGCTGTCTTTGACCCCAAGAACACAATCCCCACCGTCAAACATGGAGGTGGAAACATGCTTTGGGGGTGTTTTTCTGCTAAGGGGACAGGACAACTTCATCGCATCAAAGGGACGATGAACGAGGCCATGTACCATCAAATCTTGGGTGAGAACCTCCTTCCCTCAGCCAGGGTATTGAAAATGTGTCGTGGATGGGTACACACACGGCCAAGGCAACAAAGGAGTGGCTCAAGAAGAAGCACATTAAGGTCCTGGAGTGGCCTAGCCAGTCTCCAGACCTTAATCCCATAGAAAATCTGTGGAGGGAGCTGAAGGTTCGAGTTGCCACATGTCAGCCTCGAAACCTTAATGACTTGGAGAAGATCTGCAAAGAGGAGTGGGATAAAATCCCTCCTGAGATGTGTGCAAACCTGGTGGCCAACTACAAGAAATGTCTGACCTCTGTGATTGCCAACAAGGGTTTTGCCACCAAGTACTAAGTCATGTTTTGCAGAGGGGTCAAATACTTATTTTCCTCATTAAAATGCAAATAAATTTATAACATTTTTGACATGCGTTTTTCTGGATTTTTTGTTGTTGTTATTCTGTCTCTCACTGTTCAAATAAACCTACCATTAAAATTATAGACTGATCATTTCTTTGTCAGTGGGCAAACGTACAAAATCAGCAGGGAATCAAATACTTTTTTCCCTCACTGTATGTTACCCTCAAGGTATTTAATAATTATTTGACAACATTAAAATAAATTATATATCTATTCAGCACCAATTATTTTAAAATACAATCATGGAAACAAATACCTTGGTTAATGTTTCTTAGATTTTAATTAATCTTCTCATAGTTGCAGCTGGTTAAATTCCCACCTCTACCACCTCAAGCAACCATGCTTGCCCACACGCCTCTTCATGAAAAACTAATTAAAACTATAATTAGACTTTGCAAAGCATCTAAATGCAGAATAATTTTAAAAGTCAATAAAACGCAACTGTATAATCATAAACATTAATAATAATATACAAACCAAAACACCCAAAAATATTTCGGGCACAAGCTGTCTGAAAGACTGCAACCCCACACAAATGAAGAATGTACTATCACGTGAATTGATATATAAAGCAGCAACCAGGGGGCACAGGAAGAGGTCGGAATCAGAATTGTATTTATTCTGGAGGAATCCGATGAGCTATGAAGCTCTTTTGCACAAGTGTCCAGTAGTATTCACATATGTCCAAGGGGGAAGGGTGGGAAAACACTGGGGAGGGTTTTCGTTGGGAACTCGTACTTAAATATTACAATTCTTGACCTGTAGGGTTCAGCTCAGCTGCCACAAGACCCATGGCCATACATCGCTATGAAATAATTGGCCTTAATATTTCATTTTATTGTACCTCCATTAACTCAAGACAGCTGTGTGCATGTGGTATATATGGTCAGCAATTTTCAATTGGCAGCGCACTGCAGGGCTTATAATCACAAAGCTAATAAAGTATTAAAGCTTTCGTGACTGCATAAAATTACTCATTGTTTTTTTCGGTAAAGTCACGTATGTAGAAATACAATAAAATTATATTTAAAAAAACAATCACGACGTTTCGATCACAACGCAAGCGATCTTCATCAGGTGTGAAGAGCAAATCACGGAGGTAAATACAACAAAACGACGAGAGACAAGAATTCAACAAACCTGAAAAAACATTATGTGAAGCACATCCAGTTTTCAGAAGAGTGTTAAATTTCGTGTTCAACCTTTGGATTGCACATACCAGCATAGATAGAATCTAAAATACGAGGTACACGATCAGTAGAAATACCTCGTATTTTTCATTCTATCTATGCTGGTATGTGAACACGAAATTTAACACTCTTCTAAAATTCGTGGTCCGCCAAGAAGTGTCTGTGTTGTTGGCCTGACTGGATGTGCTTCACATAATGTTTTTTTCAGGTTTTTTGAATTCTCGTCTCTCATCTTTTTGTTGTATTTACCTCCGTGATTTGTTCTTGACACCTGATGAAGATCGCTTGCGTTGCGATCGAAACGTCGTGATTGTTTTTTGTTTTAACATAATTTTATTGTATTTCTACATACGTGACTTTACCGAAAAAACCAATGAGTAATCACAAAGCTATTCTGATGAGATTTCCCGTTTCCAGTCCCAGAGTTGGCTCGACCCGTTATGGGGCCAATTAAAGGAGCACCAGCAGGTGAGCACCGCACATGTGTGTCTCTGTCTTTGTGACTGTAGTCACCCAGAACAGACCATGGAACATATATAACGACTGAATGCCTGATTCAAATAAATGACGGAGGCATCATCGCAATGATACACTCCGCTACTCCTGATGCAATTATCTGGCTCCATCACTTCAATGTAAAATTATAGTTGTTGCTCTACATTAACTTCAGCCAAACGAAGGAAAAGCGCATAGTAGGAGGTCAGCACCATTTTTCAGATGACTCGGGACTGCGAATCGACCCAGCACTTACGATAGCATTGTAGAGATTTAGATTTAAATACTGTACATATATAAACCAGATAAGTAACAATTATTGATTATTCTACACTTAGAATTTATTGGTTTTTTTTGTAAGGTAAACACATTTTTGGCAATCCAAAAGTAAAAGTTAATCAACCAGTACCAGATACTTGACGACAAACCAAGAATGCACGCACAGTGTAACCTTCCACTGCAGCTTGCTTTTGTTGTTCTGGGGTACGAGTGAGAGGTGTGTGTATGCTGGTGTGGGGAGCAGCGGTGCAGTGGTGATCACACTACGAAACTGGCGCGTCAAGTTCGATTTACACTCGAGGCTAACATCATTGACGATTATCTGAACCGGTCCTGGGCGTCCCCTAGGTCAGCTCAGCCTTAAATTAATACCTAATGCCATATTCTTGGTTCTTTCGTTAAAGTCACGTAAATATAAAACAAACAAAAAATACAAATAATAAAATAAAATTTAAAAATAATTATACACTGAAATTAATTATTTTTATTTCATTATATTTTTTATTACATTTTACTTTATTATTTGTATTTTTTTGTTTTCTATTTACGTGACTTTACCGAAAGAACCAAGAATATTAATTCCTGCAGCCACGAAAGTTTTAAGTCAAAATTTTACCTAATGCCATGTGTAAATATCAGCACTGGGAGGACAAAGGCGGCCGGGCATGGTGCCGTGCCGGCCTTCATTTGTGCTTGCTAACATTCTCTGCTCTGTAACATATCAGAAGAGTTCGGAACAACAGCAGTCACTTTCTGCTCTCAAAATATTATTTTTTCACGTCTTTAAACGGTTATGCTATTCACCACTGAGCCAATGTGTTTCATTATAGTTCCCTGGAATAATCTAAATCCATTAATGAGGCTCTCGCCAAGACATTGAGAATCACATTAATCTTATAGAGCTCATGTACTTTATTACACAAATGTATACTGAGCCTATTAACCTTTGAGTTGGAGGTTCAGTTTTGCACGTGCACACACGAGTGCATGTATCCACACATACTCTTGCTCTATTTGCCATTCATTTCTGGAGAGCAGCACAGGCTAAGTGTTTCTAACCGAAGATTAAAACTAACAATAGCATTCTTGATTTGAAGCTTTCGTGACTGCAGGAGTCCATACTCTTTGGTTCCTTCGGTAAAGTTGCGTAGATAGAAATAAAACAAAATAAATCACGACGTTTCGAACGCAACACAAGCGCCCGTCTTCAGGTGAAATCGCGATAGCCGCGATGTCTGCTACGAGCAGCAGACATCGTGCTGATTTATTTTGTTTTATTTATACCTACGTGACTTTACCGAAAGAACCAAAGAGTAACAATAACATGTTCAAGAATCACAGTTAAGAAACACACAACATAAAAATAATTAAAATAGCATGTAATCAAACAAAAGTGTTGGTCTATAAATTGTGTAAAGTGCAAATGCAATGTTGATGTTACATAATGGTAAAATAATGCTTGGAGGACAGGGTGCGTGCATGTTTCCACTCGGGGTGGGACAATGCACCCCTCTAGGACTTCGATGATTGGTCATGGTTCAGGATGGCGATTGATTCACGAGTCACTTTTTCAAATAATGTGGTGAATGGCAGCACCTCTATTTCTTGCAGAGGTGATGTGTACCCATTATTTGCAACATCCAAAAAAATGTTGATTCTCACACACACAATTCAATGCACATACCAGCACGTTAACAATAATTGTTCATTGATTTATCGACGTTGTTGCGCTCTCCGCTTTGTCCAAACTATGCCCCCTGTGTAGAACTCTCGGAGGTGCTGTGGACTATGGTGGTGCGCAGTGGGTTCGTCATGATGACTGGATACGTGGGGACGGCGATGGTATTCTTCACCTTTGTCGGGTTTGAGGTGCTGACGATTGGTGTGCTGCTCATCATGGAGGGCCTCTCGGCCTTCCTGCATGCGCTCCGTCTACACTGGTACGTTCATCTGTCGGAGGACATGCTTGTGCAGTCGGGGTACCAGATGCATGCCTACCTTTGGGCCAAATTTGCACAAACGCTTGCAGACCTTTTCTTGTGTAGATTTATATTAATTCCGTTATAATTCGCCACTTCGTAAACAGCAGCGCTTATGTACGTAGCTATTTCCATGTGGACCATCTTAATGTTTATTACAGCTGTCTAATTACTGTTCCATATTTTTTCACTCCAGATTCTATCTGTAAATTGAAATGCGGACCTTGCAGCAGGAATTCGAATATTTGATATTGCCGAGTTGATTTCGTTTTTCATTTGATTGTGTATGAGAAACTCCATTTCTCAGCAGGAATCTTGATGAAACGAGTAAATGCATAACGTCCACACTATGTCATGCTCTCTCGGTAGTCAGTGTGCATCAGATAGTCGACTCCAGAAGTAGCACCAGCAGGGAAATGCAGAGTTTTGTCTGTGCATCTATGAATATATTAGTTGATCATGTGTCTTTCTATAAATATGTTTGTGTCTTCTTGACCATATTCTTACATTTCACCTCATATATTTTTTAACATCTTTCTGAATTGCTGCATGTAAAGTTTAGATTTGTAATATGAGAGCCTAAATATTTAGCTTTCCTGTGTACCTTTCTTTTTGTTGTGTTCTTGAAAAAGCATAATCATGATAAGTTAAAACATAAAATAATAGTACATTACATTTTGAAATATATTCTGAAGTGGAAAAAGTTTTTACATTATTGGAATTCCCATAATTTTAGTGAAGTATTTGTAATATAGAAGTAATATGAAATTGTTATCCATTCTACATGAGTGTTTACATACTGCATCTGCAAAAGAACATTTATCTGCATGTGCATTAACAAAGATTACATTTTTACTCGTATAAGTTGTAGGCACATTCATACTTTTCAACACATTACAGCCACAGCAACGCAGAGGAAGTACTTACGCTTGCAATGAAGATTCCAAAGTGTTTGATTAAACATTTTGGTGTAAGTTTTGGCATTGTTACTTGTGTGCACCCTTAAGCACTGTACGTTACATCAGCCCGATGGTATAGACCAAAGTCGCTATTGTAACGTATGACCAATCTAGCTCGTGAACATGGCCCCAAATCCACAATTCCAGTGGCATTTAGGCCACTGGAATTGTGTGAGTGGCTCAATTGAGTTAATCAATGTTAAAGACTTCATAAAAATGTGCTACATTACGTAAAATATGGTTTTGTAGATACATTTCAGCAGAATTATTTAATTTCCTGATTTTTTTGGTTTGTTTGCAATCATTGCAAGCGTTTAGTTGATATTTTTTTTAATCTAAAACAAAGTGGTTGTTTAATATTAAACAAGTGCATCATGGGACCTCCTTTGCCAGTTCCAAAATATGAGAATAGGTTTTCCCCTTTTTTCTGGCAACAAAACAGCTGTGTTAAGATGTTAATACACCAAACTGAAACCTTGAACAAGGAATCATGTCTGCATTAACCACAATACTTGTGGTCAGATTGCAAACATAAACATACTCTGATAATATATGCATTGTCCTTGAAACTGATTGGTCCACACTAGAAACAGCTTTCTTTTGAGCCTCGTCTCAAAACGGTGTTAGACCAGAGGACGACAAAAGGCGTACAGCACAAAGACAACGCACTATCAGAGTATGTTTTTTGTTTGCATTCTGACCGCAAGTATTGTGGTTAATGCAGACATGATTCCTTGTACAAGGTTTCAGTTTGGTGTTTTAACATCTTAACACCTGTTTTGTTGCCAGAAAAAAGGGGAAAAACTATTCTAATTAAACAAGTGCTTTGGGTGAAAAGGACGGGATATTTACCTTTTTGGAAGTTATTTAAACAAAACCAAACAGAAAGATAACTGGGATCGTTTGTGAGCTTTGCCATCAAAAACATGTCGATTCTATGGCTGTAAAATCCACCGGTAATGGCTTTTCCTTACTGCTGCTTTTGATGCTTAAGGTTTCAAAACACCTTGGTACACAACCCATTAATCTGTGGCACACATCCTGAATATGTTTCTCGATAGCACATAAACATTTGCATTGAGCTTCATAAATCAGAACTTTATTTTGAATATCCTTGCAAGAAAATGCTCTGCCATACAATTCTCCAGAGGTTTTCCTGCATTTTGCAGTGGGAGTGAGGCTTGGAGATTGCTGGCAGTAAGTCTGCTAAGTCTTATCAGAATTTGCCAGGCCCAGCCATATCTGCAGCCAACAATCCTCTGTAATATTCCAAGGTGACATTACAGTATTCCAAATCCTCAGAAATGGACAGTGCAAATGCCCTATTATGCATTTGCATAATGCACACATTTATTTATTAATTATTAGCTATAATTGGATACATTTTTTGAAGGGCCATTGCTCAAAACATCGCCAATTGTATATTTTTTATTTTGAACCCTTAAAGCAGTGTATTTGACAAATGTGTTGATTTTTTTTTGGTATTATTGTGCTTGTGCACCTCTGCCAATGCAGTATCACCAAATACTGTGAAAATTAAGTAATTTTACTTCTCCTCTCTGTCCACCAAACCATACAGCTCCAGTTTGCCAGTTGTGTGGCAGGTGATAGCCCTCCTCGACCCAACCGTGGTACCACCTACAGTATATAATAGGACTAAATGTTCTACATTGGACGGGAAAATTAAGGATTGATTCCAGTTGGTTTAAAATGTTTTGGTGTCATGCTTTATTCGTGATACAGACTAATGATGGGGCTACCTGAGTAGTGGGTGGAGATAGCAGAGGAGAAGGCAGGGATTAAAAGAAGTGGGTGAGGCCGACAACAGAAGAAGTGGAGGCTACTCCCTTTGTAGGTGATGTGAGTGAGTGGGTGTGGTTATGTTGGGGAGCGGTAGTGTAGCGGTTAGCACGCTGCGCTATGAAGGTGGCGACCCGCGTTCGATTCCCGCTCACGGCCAACACCAGTGACGATTATCAGAACCGGTCCTAGACCTCCGCTAGGTCGACTCAGCCTCAAATGAGTACCTGGTGCGGTGGATAAAAACATTGCCACTGGGGAGACAAAGGCGGTCGGGCGTGGTGCTGGCCACCCACCCCCTCGTGTACCGTTCCGGCCTTCATAGGTGCTCGCTAACAGCACTTGCCCCTACAGTCTGTCAAGGCTATACGGGGAATCTTTGTGGTTATGTAAAAGTAGGCAGGGCTTACAGAGGTATGTGCAGTCAACTCACTATATATCCCGATTGAGCCTCCAGAATATTTGGTAGCTTAATGGCTGTATGCTAATAGACTCATGGCGGGCTTCAATGGAAAAAAAAAGACTGAAGTGCTTACATGTCGCCTAATTTCATGCTCCTCAAGGTTGCCAATCAGCAGCTTTGTTTTAAGGATAGATTGATGGTGCCTCAAACTACAATAAAAATTGTGACAATGCATATATTTAGTAAATGTAATAGCTGTTATGTAGCCATATTTGCTTCTGCTCTTGGAATATGGAATTGCTGCCCTACTGGTTCACGATTGTGAACAAGAGATGTATGCTGCCACAGCCTTCGTTTTTCTTGCTAAATACCAACTAAATTATGGTAATATCATTACCCTTGTGCAAACTAGTTGATAATTTGAGAACGTCTTCATTAGTATTGCTTCCATAACAATGTGTTGAAAAAACAAATGAAAAAACAAATGCTGATATAAAAAGCTGAGCGAAAAAGTAGATGCGTTGCTTAAAATGTATTTGCTTTAAGCATTAGATGCATTGCTTAAAATGTATTTGCTTTAAGCATTACTAACATCAAGAAGGCGGGTACAATTTAAGCTGGATGCAGCTCCCTTGCATCACGAGTGGCGACTGTAATAGCTTGGTTCCGCTATATCTAAAGATGCCTTCGTGATTTACTGCAGAAAATGGAACCTGTGGTGCTCATTGTAGATTGAAGATCACAATACATTAGCTATGATATGTCGGTGTCGGCGGATGATGATAAATGCGACGATGCTGTGAAATTCGGACGTGAATGAGAACGGAGCCGATTGACTGTGGACTATGCAGTAACGCACTTCATGTTAGTTACGACGACTGCCACGTGATATACATCCAATTATTTTGGTGATTTCACACAGAGCTCCTTTGTGTTCGTCTTAAATAATATTTACAATAATAAATTTGCTCAATAGTAACTATCACAATCTTTCGAAATGCGGATTGTTAACATTTAGTCTTTGTTCGGTAGGAAAACAGTTTAAATGTCAACATAAAAAAAATGGTACGTTGGGTATAATATAAAACATACTTGTTTCAATTGATTTATATGTTTTCGATGAGCTGTTGGCTATAAGTGGCTGAGGGCGAGTGGAGAGCATAGTTGTAAGATAAACTATTCCGCGTGGGTATTCCCTGGGCATCCCACAATCTGCCTTCTCTCTGCTTCTGCTGCGCGGGTGGAAAGTCAGTCGCTTGCGCATGTCAAAACTTCGAAGCAATGCATTTCCACTGTAATGTGTGTAATTACCAGAAAATAAGCAACGATGTTTTTCATCATCATCATGCTTATTTAAACTAACCGATGCACTGGAAGTTTCTTCCATGTAAATTGAATTCTCTATGACAAACCCTTTCGTATATGCAGTACTGTATATTACTTCGTGCATTCATGCCCTCTAGAATTTCCTTCTCATTGTAGCTATTTGGATTGTAACGCTCTCCAACTGATATTGGAACGTAAACGCATTACCTCTGTCCATCTGTCTGTCCGCATGAAACTCGAGTGCACGATAACTCTCATAAACATAATCCAATATAAAAAAAAACAAGAATAAAGTTCGCATCACTTTTTTACCCTTTGCTCTCTTTTCGGAACAGTAAATGGTGATCACGTGATTTGTGCACATCAGGCAAGATTATGCTCCATGTAATTGTTGGGCTTCCAAATGGAAAGTGCCTCAAGCTATCTTCTTTGGTTCTTTCGGTAAAGTCACGTAGAATGAGAATAAAATAATA